GTGCTTTGTGGCTCCCTCCTGAGCCTCTGAGCTCGGCTTCACTGACTCACTGCTGGCCCCGCCACCGACCAATCTGAGGTCGCCACCATCTTTTCTGACAAGGCTGAAGGAGTTGCAAGGCAGTCTGTTAACCAGCACAGCCAGGGAGACACCATGTGGAGAAAGCCCAGTCCAAGTGGCCAAACCTCCAGCCAACCAGCCAGCCAACTGCGCAGTGTGTCTGCCCAGCAGGGCTCAGTCCAGGCCTGAGGATCCACCCAAGCTAACTCAAATCACAGAACTGTGACCTAAATAAATGGCTGAGGAAGTTTTACCCAAGAGCTCCCCACCCCCATCATATAAAGATTCCCATACATGACCTTCATTCTGTTCTTAGAACCTGTAATTGTCAACTCCAATTCATGGTGACCCCATTGTACAGAGTAGAACTGCTCTGTGGGGTTTTCAAGACTGTGAGCTTTTGGAAACAGATGTCTGGTTTGTCACCCGAGGTGCCTCTGGTAGGTTTGAACTGCCCATCTTTTGGCTAGCAGTCGACATGACCATATACATCACGCAGGGACTACTAACTTGCACGTAGAGAAACAATTTTTCCTTCTCCTGGTAGTTGAATTATGTATGAGGTGGCTCCATATAATAAGCACTGGACTACGGACTACAAGTTCGGGGGTTCAAGCCTGCCAGCTGCTCTGTGGGAGAAACATGTGACTGTCTGCTCCCATGAAGATTTAAGAACTCGGAAACCCTATACAGGGTCGCTATGAGTTGGAACCGACTCCACAGCATGTAACTACAAGGGAGCCTTAGACTCCATTTCCATTTCAGTTCTTATACTGGGTTGTTGTTAAGCCCCATCAAGTTGTTTCTAACTCATAGCAACCCTGTATAGGGCTTCACAGGAGTAGCTAGTGGGTTTGAACTGCCAGCCTTGTGGTTAGCAGTCCAGTGCTTACCCTACAGCATCACATCAGTACTCCACTCACTCAGGGTTGTTGTTGTTGTCAAATGCTGTCGAGTCAGTTCCGACTCATAGCAACCATGTATAGGGTTTCCAAGGAACAGGTGGTGAGTTTGAACCACTGACCTTGTGGTTAGCAGTTCAGCTCTTACCCTACAGTACCACACCAGATAGTCAGGCAGTATTTTAAAGAATTGTCTTATAAAATCAGCCGTAGATGGATCATCAAAGCAAGGTATTTTATGTGCCAACACATAACTGATACAATCAATGTTGACCCCAAATATACCACAGAGAAAGTTTGATCATTATTTTAAAAAGAGCCCAGTTTTAGCAAGTCATAAAAAATCTTTTGTGATCAAATATAAGTGTAATAATCTATTTATCACTTCTCCCAGGCCATTTTTTATTACTCTCTTCATTTCATTGTTTACATTTGTCATATACATCTCTATAATACACAGCGATCGCTGTTCATGTCTTATCATTTCATTAGCTTTGAATCAAACTACAATCAAATTAGTAGGGTTCAGGGTAGAAAAGAATACTACCTTTACTTGAAAGTAGATTCTTATGTATTTATATAGCACCTTTTCTTTAAGGAGCCCAAAGCACTTCCTTACCATTCACCCTAGTATCCTTTTGGTATCGCTGGGTAGTTGGTGTTGCTAACTGCCGTTGAGTTAATTCCAACCCATAGCAGCCCTGTATAGGGTTTCTGAGGAGAGGCTGGTGACTTTGAACCACGGAGCTTGCAGTCAAGTGCTTATCCAACAGCGCCACATCATTGGGTTAGGGGTATTGGTGAAAATGATCATTAAATGACTTATTATAGAAATATTTTTTAAAGGAAAGCCCAGAAAACTAGAGTTTCATCCAACAGGTAAACAAGATGATAAAGGTAAAGTTTAAGGAAACTTCAAAAGTTTGTGGGAAAACTCGACTCTTTTGATTCCACTTTTCCATGAACTTTGTGATGCCCCTCACGCCGTCATCAGTGAGCTGATAATGGTGTCAGTAGTAGACGTCTGGGTTTGGTTTTTAGCTCAGCATTCTACTTTATGTACTGCACTTTGTTTAATATGTTGTTGTTGTTGTTAAGTGCCGTTGAGTTGGTTCCGACCCATAGCGACCCTGAACAGGGTTTCCGAGGCTGTAAATCTTTACGGGAGCAGAAAGCCTCATCTTTCTCCTGCGGAGCGGCTGGTAGTTTCGAACTGCTTACCTTGAGGTTCGCAGCCTGATTCGTAACCACTACGCTACCAGAGCTCCTTATGTTGTTGTTGTTGTTGTTAAGTGCCGTCGAGTCGGGTCCGACCCATAGCGACCCTGTACAGGGTTTCCGAGGGTGTAAATCTTTACGGGAGCAGAAAGCCTCATCTTTCTCCCGCGGAGCGGCTGGTAGTTTTGAACTGCTTACCTTGAGGTTCGCAGCCTGATTCGTAACCACTACGCTACCAGAGCTCCTTATAGGACTTACTAAAAGATACAATGGTTTCTTCCCTTTTGAACATCTCTTTTTGGATAGGTGTTGACGAAAAGGGCAGAACAATCAATTCCCAAAAACTGATCATCTGGCCATGCTGTTTTTCCTGTCAGGTAAGGAGGACTGTCTGTATGTTACAGAGTCCACCTCTGCTTCTCCATTAATTCACACTGACTGTGACCGTCTCCACATTTTCAGAACTGCAACCAGTAGAGAGAACCGATGATCAAAGGTTATTCCTTTCAGCCGGGCATCTGTGGTCACCAATGTCCTGGACAATGGCCATAAGTCACACTCTTACACCTATCAGATCCACAAGGTTAATGTGCACTAGCTCAGGTATTTTACCTTTTATTCACAGTCGTGGAGGGCAAATGCCCACTGGCCACAGCAGTTAAGACAACCCCCCTGTGACTCACATGCTCTGCAGTCTCACAAGAGGACCGAGGCTGAGAGAAGAGAGAATCTTCTCGAATAAGTTTTCTCATATTCTCAATAGGAAGATTGGAATTTTAAAGGCACCAGAAAACAGCAGTAACATTTTCCACTTCTACAAGGCTGAATCACAACTAGGTAGGAAGAACATAGGGCCAACTGCCTGTACACACTTATGCCAATCTTATCTAGAAAGCCAAAATATATAGTTCAACTCTACTCTTTCTTTCTTGAACTACCCACAGCATCTCCTTTTCCCTCTGTGAACAGATTCTATCCTGGTCCTATCCATTGTCCACTTCTTTCCCTGCAGAGCCAACACAGTGCCTGACTGTCCATGGCAGGGTGAATCAGTAAATTCATCTCCATTCAAGCTTTCTCTTGGGGCGGTGTAGGGCAAGAGGGACACAGACTCAGTTCTGCTTGCAGATTAACACAAACTTAAAACATTCAAGGAGAAAAATGGGGTTTCCCTTTTTCCTTCTTTTAGAAAAAGGAGAACACAGAAAAAAATTCTGAAAACAAAAGTTCCTCCTTCCAAGTTTTTATATTACTAGCCTTTTCTCAAAAGTACTTATTAGCAAACACATACACTCCAAGAAACCAACAGAGAAATATAAGCACCTACCTGTGTATGAAAGGGTGCAAAGAAAACAGAACAGAAGTCTGTCACCTTTAGGAGAATGTTCACGAAAACCCTTAAACAGTTAAAAGAGTGGGGGAAATAAAGTTTGAAGGAAAAAGTGGAATGCAAATATAGAAAAATAAAACAGATCCAAATAAAACAGGACTTTCATAAAAACAGGTATCACTTTATGAAGCCAGCAAGGCTGGGTGGACTCCCAAAATGAATGCCCTGAGATAATCTTTAGACTTTACACTTCCAATTAAAACTATCCCCTGAACTCTTTTTTGAGCCAAAAGTTTATCATTATAAGCATGTCTGCCTTGAGCAATGTTTTCTTTTAAAGAATGATCTATGTCAGATGAAATCAACACAAGCAACTTGGAAGGTTAGATGAGACACTCTAGAGGCAGTGACTTTCAGCCACTGTAGTGGAATAATTTGGAGAAGGGCAGTGAGGAAGACTAAGTACAACTTGAAGAATATAACCAGCTTCACTCAGTTGTACTTGTAAAAATTGCAGAAATGGTGTATGGCTATGTGTATTTCATCCTCAAAAAAAACAAAATGTCAGAAGGAGACAAATCACTGATGAAATAATATTAGGGGACAGGAGAGAAAAAAACTCTAAAAGAAAGTTAAATGTGGATGACCAAAGAGAAACATGTACAGGTAATTCCTGGGTTATGAATGTCCAACTTACATACAATCATCATTACGGTACAGCCTTTGTTGAGCCTACTATATTAAAAATTCAAAGTACATACAATGGTTCATAAAAACAAATGGGCCCTACTTTGCAACATGCATCATAGCATTATTACTGTAGTATTCCAGTAACGATGCTTTAGTGTATCTGCAAGTGTTATTTTTAATGTTTTAGTTTTGTGCACAGAAAGGCCCAGTATCTGAAGGGGCTTCTGAAAGTTTTGAAGCCCCCTCTTATACTATACTAAGACAAACATTTGATTAAATGGCCTTTGATACCAACTGTACCTAACTGTTCCAAGTTCTGTACAAATTCGACTTTCAAGAGTCTTAGGATGGAGGGGCTGCGTGTACCCTGTCATTCATTAGTGGATACCTGGTTGTGGATATCAGAGAGCAGTACTAATAAACTCACTTCTTAAAAAGTAATCAATCACTCCTGTGAAGAGAAAGGTGGGTAAAGAAGGCTGTGTAATGTTGCATAAAGGTACTGGACAAACAGGGTCTAAAGGCAGCAGATTTGGAACCAGCCAAACGGAAGCCCTCTCAGGGTTTCAAGTGGGAGGAAAGGCTCTGCCTTAGGAATTCTGACTCCACTCTGTGATGTCCTTAAGTCAGGAGGCCCATCAGTCTGTCCGTCCTGAGTCTGGGCCACGTGTTTATTTCCACTGGACACACGGGAGGCCGGCTGGGGGATCACCGAGCCCCGCTTTCTGCTCGCAGCGTTGGTCGAGGTGGCTGCCTTGCGTGGCGGGCTGTGGCCGGGCGGGCGGGCAGAGGGCAGCGGCTCAACGCCAAGCCCGGGGCGCACGGGCCGCGGGCTCTTGCAGCCCCTGCTCTTGCACCGGTGTGGCCACCTCGCCCGCGAGGCCCTTGTCGGCCAGGCGCGCTCCGCTGCCCGCGAAGGTGTCAGTGCGCGCGGAGCTCTCTTCCTGCACCGGGCGACCCGGCTCCTCCCCAGGTTCCCCCGGCTCCCCGCCGCCGCCGCCACCGCCGCCGCCGCTGCTGGCAATGCCCTCCTGCGACGTCTGGCTGACATACACCACGATGATGTCGCCCTTGAAATTCATGACCTGCCCGCTGGAAATGAACGTGGAGTTACTGTTTCCAGTCACATTGCCTACAGGGGGAGAGGGAGAGAGAACATGGAGAAGGTGACTCAGCGCTTCTCGTGACAACAGCATCTTGTGAGAGGGATGGTGTCCAGGCCTCATGGAGACAAGAGCTCACCATGAGTTTGAGGGTGTGGCCAGGGTGAAAGGGACCAAGACCCCCATCTCCATCCTGGAGGGCCAGAAGCCAAGAATGCCAAGCACAGGTTAATTTATTGTGTGTGCAGTGCCGTAAAGTCGGTTCACACCCATAGCAACCCTGTATAGGGTTTCCAAGGAGCAGCTGGTGAGCTTGAACAGCTGACCTTGCAGTTCAAACGGCTTTGCAGTGTGGGGCATTAACCCACAGCGCCACACCAGGACTCCACAGGTTAATTACTTTCCCTAAAAAGCAGTCCCTGCGTGCTCCAAGTGGAAAGACCAACCAGAGTTGCCTGGGAAGAATGGTCTGGCTCTCCTGCAAGGAAACAGCCAGTGAAAAGCAGCTCTACTCAAACGGAAGTCACCAGGAGCCAGAGACAAGGGCAACTGGTACATTTCCTCCACAGGTTTTTTGTTTTTTTGTGTTTTTGGGTTTTTTTTAATGTTTGGAAAAGAGATTTAAAAACTTAAAATGGGAATAAAAAAATAAAATAAATCCTGTAAAGCATTGCTTCTGATTCTGAGCACTGTTTTGTACCTAAGGGTTTTAGAGTTTCTTTAAGGGTGATTGAAGTTAGCTAGGCTTCAAATAATTGTTAAGTGTTATGAGCTAGTTCTGACTCATAATGGTTTCCAGGTGGGTTTGACTTGCCACCTTTGCTGATCCTACAGTACCACACCAGAATCGCTTTTAATTAATATAATTAAGTGCCAGTGAATGGGTTCTGACTCATAGTAACCCTGTACTGGGTTTCCAGGAGCAACTGGTGGGTTTGAACCACCAGCTTTATAGTTAGCAGTCTAGTGCTGATCCTACATCCCTACACCAGAACCCTTTTAAGTAATATGATTAAGTACGCCAAGTGGGTTTTGACTCAGATGCCCTGTATAAGGTTTCTGAGGCTTTTAAATTTCTGCAGGCGCTGAAAAGCTTCATCTTGGTGGGCAGGGCAGTTGGTGGGCTGGAACCCTCAGCCTTTTCATTCACAGTGCAGTGCTTATCCTACGTCTTTTAAAAAAATAAACACTCCATGAATGTTAGGAAACCTGCTACATCTTACATACATTCTTTTTTATTGTGGATTGAGTGAAAGTTTTCAGGGCATCTCATCAGTTTCATATTCAAACATTCATATACCTTGTTTCATTATATTGATTATAATCCCCTCCACATACCATCAGTTAACAGAGTTTCTATCCTTTTTAGCTTTTTTTTGGGGGGGGAGGGGTGGAACTTTGCCTTTTTGGAATTTACAGTCTCAACTTTTAGGGAAGGTTTTTACATTTATCTGTGGGTATCCAGGGCTCATGTATGGAATTACTAACCAGCATAACTGAATAATCAGATAAGGGACATTTTGCTATGTCTGCTAGGTGGCTAAAGTCTGATCCTCAGAGCCTATGGTTTGGACAGTCAGCAACGCTTGGGCCCACAGGGATTACATACATTCTTCTATGTTAAGACAGTGCTCCAGACAATTTCTGTGGTTAAAGTCCCACAAAACAAGCTGATCTAGACGGCTCTGTCACTCAGCCTCACAAATAGAGTCTTCTGTATCTGACCAGATGTGACCATATTCATTTCAGGACTCTTCTCTATTTACTTTCCTCTTTTTTCTTTTCTCTGGTTGTTGTTGTTTTTGTTACGTACTGTCAAGTTAGTATACAACACTGTATAGGGTTCCCAAGGAGCAGCTGGTGGGTTTGAACCACAGACATTTTGGTTTGCAGTCCAGTGCTTATCCTACAGCGCCACACCAGGACTCTTCTCTCTAGTGGTGGTGGTTGTGTGCCTTGGAGTCGGTTCCGACTCATAGTGCCCCTGTATAGGGTTTCCGAGGCTGTAAATCTTTACGGAAGCAGAAAGCTTCATCTTTCTCCTGCAGAGTGGCTGGTAGCTTTGAACTGCTGACCTTGAGGTTAGCAGCCCATCTCATAACCACTATGCTACCAGTGCTCCTTCTCTCTCTAGTAGCCCAGCTTAATAATCATTTATACAAATAAAATGAGGTTTCTGTCACCACTCCACATGAAGAAATTTCCCCAAAATTTGGAAGACTTGTTTTGGATGGTCTGACTAAAAGACCCCATAGGTGTGTAGGAAGTTCCCTTTGAGGAACCTTCTCCCACCCACAGGCTACCTGAGAAGCCCAAACTGAGCAAAGTGAGAACTGTGAAGACAGGTATTTCAGCTGTGGATAACATATCAAGTCGCAGATGACATCAGTGACTCTACCTCCAAGCAACATGGGCAAGGCCAGCTAGTATTTTCATTTACTAACTAGCCAGATTGGACCCTGCTCTTCATTTCCTCTAAAATTGCCAAGAGGTGCCCATAAGACACGTCTAGGAGTCTGTCTTACAAATATGTCTACCGTCTCTGCTCCCAACAGTTAGCACACTTGTTCTCAAGTCTGAGTTTACCAGCTGAACTCGGTAGGAAATTTAATTAACTACTGCTGCTACTGTCGGTGTTGTCGAGTCAGTTCTGACTCATAGCAACCACCCCCACCCCCACCCCCACCCCCATATAGGGTTTCCAAGGAATGGCTAGTGGGTTTGAACTGCCAACCTTGCAGTTACCAGTCCAGTGGTTATCATACACAAGCACACCAGGACTATATGTTGTATAAAGTATGGCAGGGAAAAAGGGAAGGAAATGTTTCTATGAAAACCAAAGTGAATACTTTGCAAGGCCCCACATGCAAGTAGGTCACTAAAAGCAAAATCAAACACCAAAGCTGAACAGATGTGGGCAAGACCACTATTTAAAAAAAAAAAGAATCCAAAAGGATTCTGAACTTCAGTTTTTGTTTGTAAATGTTTGCATTCTCATTTCACACTAAAGAAGAAAAACTGGACATTCAGACAGTATAGTTAATGCATAAGAGGTTCAGGAAACTATAATCCACCAATAAATATTAAAAAACAAAACAAAACCGTGTATGAATGGAAGTTATACGTTTTGCTGTTTTGTTTTTTTTTTAGCCACTTAAGATACGCACTTTGAACACAATTCTCTGCTTTAAATGGCTGTTCAAGCAACTCATATACAAGGTTTATATTGTCACTCACCCGGAAGTCCCTCTCAAAGAGGGGAACAGAAGTTACAGAGACAGTCACAGTGGGAAATCAAAAATTATAGGTGTATGCCATAACGTTCTAGATGCTAATTTACAGACAACTAAACCTCACCCACAAGGAGTTCTGATAGCGTAGTGGTTACGAATCGGGCTGCGAACCTTAAGGTCAGCAGTTCAAAACTACCAGCTGTTCCGTGGGAGAAACATGAAGATTTCTGCTCCCGTAAAGATTTACAGCCTCGGAAACCCTATACAGGGTCACTATGAGTCAGAACTGACTCCACGGCACATAACAACAACAAACCCCCCCCCACCCCACTTCTGCCAAGTTGCTCTGACCACAACCCTGTAGGGCAGAGTACAACTCTCCCATAGAGTTTCCACGGCTTAAAATCTTTACCCAGGCACCATTAAAAATTTTATTGTCCAATAAATAAATATCATAAATCCATTGGTGTCAGATTATCCTTGAAACCTTCAATTTGTCTGAGCTCAGGTTAAAACTTTGGATTTTGCACCCACTTGTACATCAGGATTTTATGTAAAATTCTTCCCTTTAAGAATTTTATTCTATGCCATTGCCTAGGGCAAACAATATCTCTCATATTGGTATCTCAAAAATTACTACACAGAACCTACAACTTAGTGTTCTATTATTTTCTAAAATGGAACTCAAAACTTTTTGCCGAAGTATATGCTCATTTTTAAACATTCCAGAACGCTTTGAGCCATAGACTGGTTTAAGAATATTATTCTTGGTGGAGTTCAGCGAGTAGGGAGAGAGGGAGGTCAAAAACAAGGCATTTGAATCCTTGATGAATGGTGCATAAAGACAAGGTACCTAGAAAGAGTAAGAGAGTCTCAGAAAAGTCTATTCTTCAAGGGCTTCTCTGTCAAAAACCCAAGGAATGACAAATGCATCAATTCTGAGCCTATTCCATCCATACTGACTTTTGTGAGAGGCAGTAAACTGGTGTGGTGTGCCAGTGACCAAGTGTGGCAGTTTATATAAGTAGCAGCAAACCTGTTGTCATGGATACGACTTGTGCAGTTGCCCGGGGTCTTCTGCTCAGAAGGGTCTCATGCTTGATTGAATGCTGTCATCATCATCATGAAATGCTCATTAGGATTTGAACACAAAAATGCTCCCGATGTCCACATTTCAATGTTGTTGTCAGTCAGTTCCAACTCATAGTGACCCTCTACAGGGTTCCCGAGGAGCAGGTGGTGAGTTTGAACCACCAACCTTATGATTTAAGTGGACCAGTAGTACCCTTCAGCACGACACCTGGGCTCCACTAGATTCTGCCAATTCAGAAGGCGGCTCTGAGGGGCAGACACTACTGGGAGGGCTGCTTTGAGAGCTCTCCCCATGGACATTCTGATTCAGCGTCACTGTTTTGGGAGGTAATATCTTCTCACGGAGATGTATCTCAATACCACAAAGTGTTTGCCACTCATTTTCTCTACTGGTAAGAACTACAGTTTCAGTAAAACATTCAATTGTGAAGGATGTGCATCAGTGCTCTGAAAACGCAGACCCCATTTATTACATGCTCTCCTAATGTTCAAGCCATCTGTCATTTTCTGTATAATTTCCAACCACAATTTTCTGATACAGAACTGAGGCCCAACCCTTTGAGGTTGTATTAATTATATGTAGCTCTAATGTTCTGCCTAAGGAGCTCTGGTAGCGTAGTGGTTACGAATCGGGCTGCGAACCTCAAGGTCAGCAGTTTGAAACTACCAGCTGTTCCGCGAGAGAAAGGTGAGGCGTTCTGTTC